ATATTATTACTTTCTTTGCGTTTCTTCGCCTCACTCTGCGACATCTTTGCATAATACTTTGAGAAGCACGCGACTCTCGCGATGACCTAAAAAGTTGTAATAGCTGGTCACGTTGTTATTACATCGACTTGGAACTCGCATCGCGAGGTCTATAGAGAAAGGGAGTGACGAGTGATCCTCCGACAAGCACGAAGAAGGAGATTACGAGCAATTGGCCGGTGCGGGAAGAACAGCGCTAACGGGCTGTTTTTTCTACCACGAAATTAATTACAGTCCATGGGCCGCGAGAGCGCGTTAATAGAATACATTGGCTGAAACGGCCAAGGCATTTGTTCGCTCGTTGAAATGTTGCGTCACGATGACCGAGCCGACCACGACCACTGGAAGAGAAGAAAGTGAAAATTCTGCGAGTTGGCCGAAGCCAGCAATCAAATCCAATCATTTTATATGGTATAAAGAATCCACGGCAGCGAGCGGTCCGGAGTCCGAAGGCAACCATGTTTCCGGTTTACGTTCGATGTCGACCCCAACTTTCCCATCACGATCCTTCCCTGTAACGTTTTCGCAATTAATTGGATCTGTTCCACCGCAAGCTTGGTCAGGCCCGTTCAACGCATGTATCGCTGTCCAACCCTCGCAGAGGTGGCGGCGGCGGCATAACGGCTATTTACGCAAGAATAACGCGCTTTATGGGATTACGTCAAAACATCGGCGCGGAATCACCGACCCGCTATCCACCCGGAGAGGATAACAATAAAAGAAAAATAGAAAAGAAAACAGAGGGGCAGGGATAGAAGCGTGCGTCGAAGGGGAAAGGCCGCGACCTAGCTTGTCCGAGCTTGGGGTTACGGGTTACGGCTACGTTACCCCCGTTGACGAATGTAAAATCAGCGGACTATTGTTGGTCGCTCGAGGGATGGAGCGAGCGCGTTCTTCAGGGTATACCGGATACGGGGAGAGTCGAGTCGCGTACCATTAGGCCCCAGGGCTGCGTGGAGCGTGCTACCGCGATTCGAGCGCGCTAATTGGAACGCGGCTATCTCGAGGGTGATCGGCCACGCGATTCTAGACAGCATCGCCGACGCGGCAACTCGCCTTTCGGATACCTTTTCCGTTTCCGTTCGCATCATGTTCCAAACAATCGGTACGCGTACTACATACTACATACTACATACTACATACTACATACTACATACTACATACTACATACTGCATACCTTTGTCGCGGCTGATTACATCTGTCGCAATAGAGACCACAAACATGGAATTTTCGACGCGTATCGCACGCGCGAACCATATACCAGACGAATCGTTGGAAAATCATCCATCAACGAGAAAGTAGCGGAACGGAGAAACGACAGAGAAGCGTCGGTGTCGGCGTGGCGCAGCGCGTCGATCTGTCATTCGCGATTCCGCTCGAAGGGTTGTCTTTATCCCGAAATGAACCGCAACGATGATATCGAAAAAGCTGTTGAAACTTATTGGAACAAATTTCCTCTTCGAATGGGACGTTGACGCTTCTTTGATACCTGGCGAGGCGAGGCGAGGCGAGACGAAACGAGACAAGACAAGACGAGATCAAAGCGATCGTACGAACGTTTCCCTGAAATTTTCCGAGACTTGGAAGCAACCCGAGGGCCAAGATAAAGGAGACTGCGACAGAGACGCGAGGAAAACCGGAGAAAAATAAACTCTCTCATAGAAATTCGAGTAGGCTCGTATCGAGTATCGCACCGGTTGGATCGATATCCTCTCGGTGGCGTTGGTTATCCGCGCTGCGAGCCCTAACCCAGCAAGAGCAAAGGGGTCGTCGATTTTTCCGCAGGACCGAGCATCGACTAGAGCCACTGGAGGAGCGTCGAACCAGAGGTCGAGCCGTGCACCGAATAAATTACAGGTCGGTTTTAAAGCGATTACGAAGGTCAGATTCTAATCCGGCCAGATGTGTTCCTCGTCCCTTGTCTACCGCTGTTGTACCGCTAACCGAGCCGATCCACGAGCATCGCGCCGTTTCTGGAGATCCTGCGTTTACGTATCGTTTTACGAGCAATTTTAACGGAACAAAACGAAAAATGACCGATCGCGATCTAAATACGATTCAAATAACGAGTCTACTTCTCGTTTCAACCGTGTTGTTTCCTAGCCGCGTCACGTATCGTCGAGTAAATTAATTCCGCGATTATCGTTATATCGCCGACTCGGGAGAAAACGAATTCCCCAGGTTTTCGTGCGACTCTTTACGAGCCGCAATCTATGGATTTGAAATTCAGATCGCAATCATTGCATTACCGATAGCATTACCGAGGCATTCGATGACGATCGTGGTTCCATTGAAATCGCGGTTTCAAATAAAAAAGCTTGTCGAGCGAAAATTGCTATCGCTCGATCTTCTCGCGGGTCCCGCGTTTCGTTACGATATTCCATTCGGGGCTGGAGAAAGCGTTTTCGAGGGTAACGAATCGAATCGAAACGCAGCTCGTTAGGTCGCGCCAACTCTCGCTTGCTCGAAATCAAATTTCCGTACGTTTATCGAATTTTGGCGTTTCATCTTTGTACGCGCTTCCCATTATGCGAAACGATCAGAGCATAATATTTTTAATCCCCTCGTTCGACTACACGAGTAATCGGTTTAAACAGCGAATCGAGTCTCGGAAAAGGGAAGCGCGTGCGAGGGAGTGAGAGCGAGAGAGTTGGAGTATGGAGTTCAATTCGAGGGGTGGGGGAGGGGAGGGGTTAAAAATGAAAAACGTGCCCAGTCACCCAGTCTACGTTCTTTGCCACGTTTTCCTATAGAATCACCGTCCGACCATGTCTCTGTATGACGTAATCCGTTCTATTTATTAAAAGGCGATTCCCCCATTGTTTTACGGAAGTAGCGTACAATGCGTCTCGACGCGAGCCAGCCACATGGCGTCGTCGATCGGCTTACACGCGCTCCAACATTTTGTACGGTACTCGTGCATACTGCACGATCTCGTGGGAAATCGCTCGGTCTCTTTCCGTCGGCGGGGCGCGTCGCGTCGCGTCGCGTCGCGTCGGTTGCACGCATACGGCGCCGGCGCGGTCGGTAGTCTCGATCCAGAGAGGGTTCGATTCGAATAAGAACGAGAATTCAGAGCTTTTTTCACGAAAAACAATGCGCGGGGCGAGGGAGCTTGGCTGGCTCGCAGTTTCGTCGAATATAAAAACGATGGTTCACGTTCGAGCTGTTGCCGACGAAGCCTTGTACATAAATAAACGGAAGAAGCGAAAGTCTCGTACATGTTTGAACGGCTGTTGGCGTTCGCGTCGTCGGTATTGGTGAATTTTTTAAAAGCCTACCACTCGATCGGTTATGTCGGCGTTAATAAACGCGACGATTCGATATTTTTGTCAGGTTCGTAAATGTTTCGGGCAACCGAAAACATTAATAATCGAAAGGGATAAACTTGAGCCTCGTGGTAGGTAAGCGTTTCGCATCTGGAGGAAGGGGAAGAAGGCGCGTGCCGTTGCGATCGTTGTTTGCAGATTATTCGACAAGGGGTGCGTACAGCCCCGATTCAGACCTCTTTTTTTCAATGGAAGATGCACGGGGAACGAGACGTTCGATCCATGAGAAAGTAAACTATCGTTGTCGAAAATACTGTGTAAATAAATATATTATATATACGTTAGGGTCGGCCGATTTCATTTAATGGCTATTGTTTGGTTTGTTCCGTTCGGCAAAGGCGTAATGTCTGCGGTAACGGTAAATTTTTATTGGCGATCGTTAAACTTAAATAACGACGCTTTCAGTTTTATAAGGCGCGCCAGACTGACAATAACGAAACGACGCGGTGTCACGGGTGCAACGTTTTGGAGAACATTTTTACGGGACACCGCGGATGCATAAATCCACGTGGAAGGGATGGAAAGTACTTTTTCGCGTGCCTATATGTGTAACCTGGTTGCAATCCTTCGTTTCTTCGATGCACGGGAGCACGTTTAAATTATTTCGTTCTCGATCACGTTTTTCATCGTAGTTACGCTTCGAGAAACTATTAATAATTTTGATTCTTAGAATAGAAAGAGCAATGAAAACGACGCCGCCGCCGCCGCCGCCGCCGCCGATGATTGGTCAGAGTTCGCGTCTTATGCAAATTTCATACCAAGACATTGGGTAAACAGGGCAACTGTGGCCACGGTCTCGTTGAATTTATTTTCCCATTCTGCTCGGTTGAGCGTTAATTAAGCTCTGAAAGCATGGCAAATATAGCGGCACTGAGTCGTTTCTCTCGATGCGACGCAGCTCCCAGTGGCCCGTCGTTGCACCTCCGACAGAATGCGAGGGTGAGAATGGAAGACGGGGGCGGATCGAGCTTATCGGGAGGGCCCTACGTTTAGACGCGTGTCGCAAAAGTGTCTCGTTAACGCGAAGAATCGCGACGACGCGACGCATTGCGGTAGACCGTTGGCGTAACTATATATAATGTTTTACGAACGGTAGGATACGAGTATAGCTAGCTACCCAAAGAGCTTCATCGAAGCTGCGTCTGAGTTGGTTATCATTTATTTTGCTCGGCGCTCTCGTCGCTAGATCTCTCGATGCTCTCCGATAATTTACGTTCGCACGCAATGTTTCGACGTACGAAAATTATTACCTTCGGGCTGCGTTTCGAATCCCATTATTCGACAGCTTCGGGGCAACGGGCTACGGTTGCGCGCAATGTTCCCTCGATAATGTATCGTCTGCGAAAAGGAGGGCAATGGTTGCGTTTGCGAGTATTCACCGATAGAAATGATGCCGGCTCGGTATCGGCACGAACTTGGAGTAGCTCTATCGTTCGTCCGTTTGTTCGTTCCGGACTGATTGGTTCTGCCCGAGCACATTATTTATTTAAATGAATCGGAGGCGGGCACGTTACGCGAGCACGTTACGCGAACAACGTCACCGCGACAGCGTTAACGTTATCGCGTGTACGATTTCTCGCAGATTCATCGGCATCGGCATCGATTCGCCATAATTCGGTTGATTTACTTACCGTTTAAGAACAAGTGGCTGGTACTGTTGTACATGTTGCTCACGATCGGTTTGACGTTATCGAAGGTTATCGTCTTGAGCTGATTATCCCTGAGGTCCAGAAAGTAAACACCCGGTGCTCCGGCCAGAAAGTCCGGCTCAAGAGTGATCAGCTTGTTGTCGCTAAGACTAAGTTTTCTCAGATTTTTCAGCCCTTGGAGCGCTTTCTCCGAGATGTATACGATCTTGTTCGAATCCAGCTCGAGATCTCGCAGGGACGGCATCTCGATGAAAGTTCGGTCGCCGATCATGTCGATTAAATTGTTTCGAAGGTCTAGTCGAAGCAGATTTCTCAAACTGTGAAAACTATCACCGGTGATCACCTGTATTCGATTGTCGGATAGCTCCAACTCCTCCAGAGTGATCAGGTGCTTGAACGCTTTGTCGTGCAGTGTGCTGATGTTATTGTGAGAGAGGAGGAGTCTCTTTAGCGACGGCAAATCGACAAACGTGTCCCTGCGAATCAGAATAACATAGTCGGTGTTATCGCGACGACGATCATGTATGTATGTACGGTACAGGTATACCTATATCGTAAACTTTGCTCGTTGCAGCATTCTTCGAACCGTACCTATTCGTATCGTCCGTAAACGCAAACTGGAATCAACGTACCTGTTAATCTCGGTGATCCGATTTTCGTTCAAAGCAACGACCGTCAGATTTGTCATGTTTTCGAACGCGTGCATCCTCAACGAGGAGATGGAATTTTTGTTCAAGTCGATGTACGCGATTGTCGAGAGATTCGAAAACGCGTACTCTGGCAGCTGGTCGATTTTCGCATAGTGAAAGGTGATTTTCCGCAGGTTCTTGAGACGTCGCAACAGCTGAGTGGGGATGTACTCTAGAGTTTCTAGACCGTTGAGCATCTTGACGTTGAAGGTCAGCTCCTCCAGGTAGATTTGCGAGCCAAAGTAGTCCCACGTCGGATCGTTCGAGTTGAACGATCTCAGGACCAAACATTTCGCCTCCGTTGCGTTTCTGACGGCGTTATTGTTGCAGTAGCAATAGATTGGCGTGTCTTGATCCTCGATTTCGCAAACGTTTATTTCTTTGGTTTCCTTGGCGATCTTCTTCTTCCCCCGGGATCTCGTCGAGGCGGATTGAGTCGAGGAAAGCAACGAAATCAGCAAAAGTACTCGGAGAAACACCGAGGTCCACGGTACGCGCCTCATAACGGCGACTCTGTTCCGGATCTGTAACCAAACGGAATTCAACGTACTCGACTTGCGCTTAGAGTATGGATCGCGCAACGTGGCTTTACGATCGTATCCAAATACACGATTAACGGCTCATCGAACGTAACGCAAGCGAACACGTGTTTCTTTGCGAGCCACATCGAATACCTCTATTACCTTCGGAGAAGCGGAGCGGAGCGGATGATGCTTCATCGGTCGAGAAAAATCTTTCCGCGAGAGGAGAAAAAAGGAAGACAGGGAAAAAAAAGACTCGTAGGTAGCGAAACGTAAAGGCCATGAAAAAGGTAAACGAAAGACGGAGGATGAAGGTGAGCTGGCGTTCGCGTTCGCGGACAGGTGGGACCAGGTGTGAGAAACGCGACGGAGACGGCCTTTCACACGGCTCGCTTTTTTCTCCCGCAAAACGAAGACGAACCGAAAAGGGACACCTCGCCAAGTTCCTTTGACAAATTATTCTTTCGAGTGGAAGCTCGCATAATGTCGCGCGCGGTCTCTCGTTTGTCTTTATTTTCAATCGGCGTGGTCGTCTGGCGCCGCGCCGGTTCGGTTCGTCATCCTCGCCACTCGCGCGCCACGGTTATCCTGGCTTTACGTTTACAACCATGGGAACTGTTCACTCAAGTTTTTTCTTAATGTCGTCCATTAACTCTGCGATTGATATTTCGTTTACGCGTGTCGAAGTTTGCGTAAACGCGAAATACCAACTCGAGATTTAAATTAAGACGCGATATCGGTCGCGCAAGTATTAAACAGCGTCGAGAGATAGAAAGAATTTTGTCTACCGACTAAATACTTGGAGGAATTTCGTCGATAAATCGATATTACTCGCGGAAATTGTGCGCGTCGCGTCGGTTAGAAAGGAGACCGTTCGTCGTCCGAACGTCCCGGCAAAACTTTTAAGTGAAATTCCACGCGAATAATCGGACGCGTTCATTTCACCGCGGCAGTAGAGGTACCGGGTGTCGCTAATTCTGCGCACAGGGCCAATTCCTTCCTGGATTATCCTCGGTACGTATCGCACATCGGCCCGATTTGCCCGGAATCGGATTCATCCGAGTCTCGACGGACCCTCTCGCTTATTAAGTTTGAAACGGTAGAATATCTCTTTTACACGTATATTTTGTACCGTTAAGGCGACGACTTTGTAACAGGTGATGGTTTCGTTTATTCTCTACGATCTGACCAGTCGACAAAGATACCAGCTACCCATCGTGTACGAGTCGATTGAAAACTTGGCCAACCGAGTCGAGATTGGCCTTGCCCGCGCCGAGCCAAGTATTATTCGATTACTAAACGACTAGGCGCGTCCCGTCGCGCGTCGCGTTGCTTCAACTTTCATTCAAACTTTTCATTTTCATAGCCAACTATCGTCCTTTTCCGATTTTTTTACTCGGCGCGGACGGTGCGGCCGATATCGAATCGTGAGAAAGAGGTTGAGAACGCGGAGAAGGCATTATTAAAGTCAAGATGGGCTAAACGAAATACGATCGAAACGAATCGAGTTCGAATTGCATGCAGTTCTTCCTCGAAGAAGAAGGAGAGGAGGGTTAACGTTTCGGGATAATTAAATTGGGCCCGCTCGCAAAGAGGAGTTTTAAAAGTCGCCGTTGACTCGAGGGGCTGGCTTCTCGTTCCGCTCAACTTTCGCTTCTTGAACAAAATGAATTTCCGACAAATGTACTCAACGAACGTACAGAAAGAGTAGAGATACAGATACATGTATATTAGCTTGAGCGTGTTCATCTTTTCTTCGTATGTGGACGTTCGGGTAAGTTTGGTCTAACCGTAAAACCGGCAAGTTTCGACGGTATGTCGCGTCAGAGTGACAGAGATGAGAACGGGGGAACAAGGTTTGCGCGTGGCAGTGATCTCGAGGCCGCGAGGAACGCGTTAGCCTGCGTCACGTCTAAATCATACGTCACGGGATGGAAATACCCATACATCAGGGGAAACGTAAACTCGATTCCCGGTGGTAATGCTCGCAGCGTTGGCTTTGGCAGTGGCAGTGGCGTTGCTCGTTAACCTCGGAACCGGCCTCCGTGATTACCAGACTTTTCAAACTTTCCCTACTTTCAACTTTTGCCGACACTCGCGAGAAAAAAACGATAGCCTCGAGTCTCGTCGTCTATGGAGAATGGATCAGACAGGTTCTTGAAATAAGAGACGCGATCGTTGGTCGCGACTCGCGAAAAATGTTACGCAATTTAATCGCAAGACTCGACGCGTGACTGGAATCGCATCGCTTCGCGACGCGTTATCGCGATCCTCGTCGATCTTATACTCGAATAAATAATTTCATCGACAACGGAATAAATGTCGTTAACACGTCATCTTTATTTTCTGGAAAAGCCGCGTCAACAGTCGTTGACATTTTTTTTCGAAAAACTTTTGTACAAGTTAACCAGTGATAATTAATAACGACAAATTCATTAAAACTTGCCTCAAAGTTGTAGGAATCATCCGTTGCTCGCAATCCGCGTGCTGTTTACGTTCGACGAAGCGGCGCTCAAAAATCTTCCGGAAGCTCGGAACAATCGGAAAGATAAACACCTCGCAGTCGCAACTCAACAGCCGTGGAAACTATGCAAAAGTTCCGGCACTCCTTCACTCCTTCACTCCTTCACTCATTCACTCATTCACTCATTCACTCATTCACTCTCCGCCATCCTCTCGACTCGACTAAGAGTTCCGCGACACGGCTAACGGTGACCGTATCCGCCCCCGATTGCATTCACAGTTTGCCACAGCAGCCAGATAAGCCATTTCGGAACAAATTAATCAACGCTATCGTCGCGAAACCACGGGGGCCAAGTTGTCTGGAAAGTAACTTTCCATCGTATTAAAGCACCTCGTAACCGAGTTAGAAAATAGGCCGTGAAAAGCACAGTTTCCTTTTCAAAGTGTCTATCCATTCTCCAGCCTGTCAAAACTGTTTCGGAACCGACGAACATGTTTGGTAGATCGACGAGCTGCTTCGCCGGATCGCTGGATCGTCAAGGTTGATCCGAGTCGACGAGACGCGTAGTACCCGAGAAAACACGCTTTTGCAAAGCAAAGAAACTCTCTCGTCTTTATTTCGGTAAAGGCGATATGGCGCGGCGACGATGTTGGAAAAGAGGCGGCTACAAACGCGACTACTCGGGAAACCACTGCATAACTGCAGGGCTTCCCGAGATTATGCCTAGACATGATCCCATATAGATCGTCGAGCTAGCGTATGCAAATCCTCGTGGCAAACTGCTCGGCATTTGCATAAGCTTACAGATAAGGACGCGTTAGAAGTATGCCTTTCCGTCGGTTTCGTTTCCAAGAGCCGTGGCCGCGGCCGCGGCCGCTCCACGCCGTTTCACGCGCGGCGAAACGAACGAATCGATCTCGTTTCCGTGGAACGATCTTCCGAGTTTATCTGTTTTTTCTTTTTTTTTTTAGAGTCACGAAAAGTAACGGCCGGATAAAAATAGAGACGCCTCTTATCGATAACGACAGACGTGTTCGCGAGTGCAGGAAGGGTTGATACATATCGGAAATGAACGAAATGTTGGGTCGGAACGAATCGCGACAAATCAGGAAAACTGTGCAGACGTTTCCGCGAACAAAAGCTCCGACCACGATTTCGCTGGATCCGAACGTTCGAACAACTCCCATCCGTATCAATGATCCATAAGTTCCTATCGAAGCTACGAAACGAATTTCCAACGGAGAAACAAACTCTGGCGATGCCGTCGGCGCTGGGAGCTCCGAAAACTCGCTAAAAAGTCTTCTTTAACCAAACTACCAGTAGGCCAAAATTATTTACGAGTTTCTCGTCTAACGGGGTATCCGCCTCGCTTCCTTCCGTCTTCGGTAGCGTCTTATTCAGAAAGGGCCGTTTAGATTCCGCGACTGAAAAGACCGACCCCGTAGCTCGTACATTAACCCGGCTCCTTTTCCTTCCTGCTTCTCGTATCTCTGACGACGTACCCAGCCCGGGAATGAAATGTACGAAATTAAATGGATCCTCCTCACAAAGTGCAACGCTGGACTGCGAGCCACCGTCGGCATCGCGTCGCGTCACGTTCTAGGAAAACAAACCGACCGGCAACAACCCACTCCGATAAGTCCATCCGAGCTGAAACAAAAGCCAACCCTCTCCGTGGAATCCGTCGCGAGGGCTGAGCATTTTCAAAGGTCCGATTGCACCCCTTTTGAATCGTTTCGTCTAAAACATTTTGAAATCGGTCCCAGGGAATTAGTGCTGTTGCGCGTTCGATTCTAGTTATCGGAGTTAATGACTCCGTCGCGACTTGATGAACGCCGATAATCATCGTCGAGTATAAGTAGTTTGAGTCGTGCAACGCTACTTTACTCACGGATACGCGAATAAATAATTCATAAAATTCACTCACTCAGTCGGTGTTTCAGAAAGATGAAAGAAAAAGCTGTCGGTGAAGAGAAAAATCTGAGAGCACAGCAGCAGCCGGCTATTGTCTCGAAGCAAAGACTGTCTCGGTTTTAAAGCTCTTATATTCTTCTTTCTCATCGTGGCTTGTCCATTCGGTCGCAATTAGGATTACCTATGTATTTAGTTTTCTCCCAGACATCCTTGATGAAAGGACATACCATCGAAATCCTCAACGGAAATTTTATCCTTCTCGTTTCATTCCCAAGCGATAAAACTGTTTCTCTCGAGTCTCGAATACGAAAAATCAATAAATCAGCAAAGCAAACATCCATCGATCGCTTCGTTTTCGTATAAATGGACGAGGCATGAAACTCAACCGCCATATTCTCCGTTCTAGAAACTACTTAACTTTCCATTTAATATTCCGACAGAGATAATCCTCGACATCGGCACAAGTTGTTCTTAATTAAAAGCCGCTCGGTTTGCGCAAAATCTGTCCAACACGCGACGTCGACGGAGAGAAATTTTTCATACGACGGCTGAATAAGCGGCGCTAATACGAATTTATACGGGACGCATTCGTTCCGCGGCTGTTATCTTGGTTGGATTATAAGAGGGCCGCGTAGTGCCGTAATGACGCGCCGTAACAAAAGTCACGTGCTACTGCGGCCGAAAGACAAACTACGTGCCCCGCACCGGAACAACGGAAATTGGCCATACTCGAAAGAGACTGCAGTACCGCTACGGAGCTGTCTCTTACCGTGTTACTGTGATTCGCTGCTGGCAAACGATTACATTTCGCCGTGAAATTTTGATACGATACAAACAACTACGCTGATATAGTTTCCCCGTGCGACTTATTCGCGTCGGCGTCGGTGTCGGCGTCGGTGTCGGTGTCGGTGTCGGTTCTCCTTGTAATCGCTATTATCTTCAAAATATTTCCAAGAATCCAAGGCTTTCCTTGTTATTCCGTAGCGTTGCATAAATATGCAAGCTTCCGCTGAAACGGTTTTCGATATCACCGTGTCTGCGAAAGGAGAACAATTTATCGCTTTTGAAATGTTTACCTCCGTTACGAGTGCCATCGATATCTCCGGCGTGCTATCGAGATGCTTTCCACTATTTTCTGATATTTCCGAATATCCTTTACGCGAGTGTCTATGATTTCTCGAAGAATTTCCACCAACATCGCAACTGCATCCGTTGCGAAAACTCAGAGACCCGATTCGGAGTTTCAACTCGATTCTCGTTCGCCAAGGGGAAAAGTGTTATTTCTTGTATTACGGAAATTACTTTCGATGATGTTTGCAACACTCGTACACCTTTGGTAGATGAATGTTTCAATCGTCGCGAGGGAATAATTTTTCGGTGCGATGGATAATGTTTCGTGCGATACTTGAAGCAAGTTAGCGTTTCGATGGTAGAGGGTTAAAAAGTGTTGCGTGTTAGCAGCGAATCGAGATGGTATCCGAGCGATTACCGAACGAAAGAGTCCGTTGAATACGGGTTCTCGAAGCGGTGACATTGCGTGTCGAGTTTTCAAATAGTCGACGCGGAATGCAAATATATGTACAGCTGGCAGGCAGCATTGTTAGGTGGGCAGGTAGGTCGGTGAATGGGTGGGTGTACGTCCGGCCATTCGTCTCTCTTCTCGCCTTCTTTCGCGGCTTCTATCTGTTTTTCTTGTTTACGTCTGGTACAAAGGTTTCCAGGGTTTTCCTTATTTATCGCAAAACCTTCCAGCATCCTTTCACTCGATCGTTGTTCGTTTCGTTGACCTCCCACTGGCATCTTCCATGAAAATTAATACACTCGAATACCCCTTTTTCTTCGAGAAACGCGAGGGAGAACCTTTCGTGCAAAAGTGACGGGTTCGAAAAGGGCTTCCCTGAAACAACCGACAACCATCTTCCGCCTTTCGCGAAATTGTTAAAAGAGACGCAACGAACGACTATGACCCGTACGCGTACAATTTTACGACGAACACACGGGAACCGTCGGCGTCGTTACTTTACGATCAATTTTTCATACGACGTTCGAACGATGCTCATCCGTAAAATGAACGCGGTTCGTCGTAGCGGGAGGACGTTGTTTGACGTAAGCGTAATGCACGGTGTAACGGCCGACGTGGCACGGCGTAATACGTGACCGAGTGTGAATTATACGCCGACAAAGGGCTACGCCGGGAATCCGAAATGGTAGCCAGGTCCCGTGTGATTTACAACTGCGCAACCTAGGCGACCGTTGGAGCATTTTGGTGTTAACTGACGCGATTGAATTGTACAAAACGACGAGTCTCGTTCTCGTTGCGTTCCGTCTTGTATCCGTCTACGTAGCCGGCACTCGTGGTTCCAGGCTAAATACTAAATACATTCATTCGAGCTAAATGTTTGCTCGCGTTAGCTAAAGTTTGCACCATGGCAATATATGGTGAGGGATCGATGATCGCGTCGCAGTTGGAAAAACACCGTTGGTAGAAGCCGAGGAACGTTATCGAGAACGCGACGCGACCGCATTCGGTCGAGTAAAGCTCGTGCAGGTTTTACGCGAGAGCGCCGCCGATGCACCCGCGACCATTCCGAGCCGGTAATGGTATTAATTATGCAGGTAATTAACATTCGAGCGGCCCTCGTGGATATCATTTTACGCCGTCTCCCCTCTTACCATCCATCTAAACGTGTCAGCCGGCCGACACGATACACGATACACGATACACGATGTCACGACGAGTCGATCGAAACGCAGCGCAAGTTTCCACGCGTACCGCATGCGGTGGCATTGATTCGATCCTTGCCCTTGAAGGAGAAACTTGCTAGTTCGGTCACTAGTTGAGAAGAATGGATCTCTAGAGCGTTTTTTGCCCGTTTGGACGTGCGTCGAGACGTTTCGTCTGCTACGCCGATAGAGTAGACTAGATCCATCCGTGGACTCGACTGACCTGGAACGATCTTTGTCGGTCCCGCGCCGGATAGGATAAATCAACCATAACTCGTCGCTCAGATAGAATATTCATGAATCGATTCGTGCGGCTCGAAACTCGAAATTGGAGACATGGATCGCGTGGCATATCGAGATCCGCAAACGCGGGCTAGCGTATCGATCGAACGCAACGGTTGGAAAGATCGTGGACGAAAAATTTGCCCAGGGAGATGATCGCAGGGGATAAATGTAAGTGTACGAACGCCAAGTGCGAAACGAAAGAAAAAAACTGAGGCAATTAGCGACGGATTGTTAGCTCGGCCGCGAAATACGTCTGTTCTCCAACGAAGAATCGTGTTGTTAAAATGAGGTACGAGTAATCCAGCCAAAGAAAGATGATCGGCAAACGTCACTCTATTCCGGATATGGTCGATAAATTCCTTATTGTCGTCCACGAATCATCGGAAACACGAGCGAAACAGCGCTCGGTTTTTCACGGTCCTGACAGCGACTAGCCCCGCGGTTTATCGAGCCACGTTTTTTCCATTCACCGAGCAAGGTTACCGCCCGCCCGTATATATCGTATATTCGCACTAGCGGCAAATCTCGAGTCTCTGGCATCGCCCTAAATCGCCCAACTTTTTCTCGCGACTCTGCTTCCGGTCTCCTAAACGAAAAGTAGGACGCTTACCCTGTAATGTCCTCTTTATCGTTGTTACATTTTTAATAACGGTATCGTTCAACGTACTTTCCAGCCATTTTCTTTTTCTATGGGGCCGAGAAGCGTGGATTATCCGCCTATCGATTCAGCGATATTTTCTCGACCTCGTTCTTTTCTCTGCTGTCAACGCTACGTGCCGAAACGACGCGCGACTTGTCGACTATTTCGTTTCTTTTCTTCGGAACGTTCAACTTTTATCTCGATCGTTTTCTCGTGATCGATATTATGTATATTGGTCGTGAAATGGTCGATTTTTGATCTGTATCGGGGAAGAGAGTCGACGACGACTCCAGGGCCCGATTTCAACTCAAAGTATAGATACAACACGCGAAGATCATGTTCCGGGAGTAAGGGATCGCGTTTCGAGCGAGAACTGGCTATGTAGGACCAAGTTGCATCGTTTGAGAGCAAGCGGCTCTCTTTTCCGTCGATGAAAACTTCAAAGGATCGCGTGTACCTCTAAAAAGGGAAGGAGAAAGAGACAGAGATGAACAGAGTTGATATAATTTACTTTTCGCTCCAACGGATTTCAATAGTATTGGAAATGGCCCTTGGACTCGCTCGTTCGCTGGTTCGATGACGTCTGCCGGCGGTAATGACGTAGATCCACAAAGGGCCGAAATTAGTTTCGAACGAGATTCGATTGTTTGCGAAACGATGGGGAGAAAAGACGCGTGGAAAGGCAGAGGGAGAAGCTGCCGAGTTGGGAGCCGTCCCACTGTTGCGGATTGCACCCCACATTCAACGAAACCGACACCCAGTCTGATCGGAAACGATGGAATAAAAAAGACACCAAGTAACACGGTGAACAACGTTCAAGAGAAACAATCTTGACTTCTCGACGGAGGATTCTTCCTCGTTGACGAATGATTCTGCCAAGTGGTAGATATTGCTTTTCCAGCGAAGCGTACACCGCGCCGTACGTTCGCCGTGATAATGTTGAAACGAGAGACGAGTAAACGACCGTTCTCGCGAAATAAGAATTTCGATATCGATATCGAAACAGCGCTATTCGATAATCGGCGAGTTGCTACATAGCCAGCAAATACGGTAACCCAGTGGTGTGAAGCCAGCGAGCGGGGTGAGCTTTAAGCTCGATTAGCAAATTATGCATGTGCGCGACAGAATCCGCACGGGGTTGCGCGGATGACGTAACTCAATATTTATACAATTAAGCCGGTGACTGCGGGTTCGAGCGGGGTGACGAAATTTCGTTAGGCCAATCGGAGCGTGAAACCGTTGGTAGCCTAACCCTCCGTCAAAATGGCTCCTACTACCGAATCAAAGATGGCGAACCCTCGACGTCTGGCTAATTTTTGCGAAAATTACGCGTAGACCCGGGCCGACCTGCCATCTCCGTTTACTCGGAGATCGAGGGGATGTACGCCAGCCATTTTGCGATTCTTTAATTGGAACTTGGAACACTCCGAATACGACGACTACTCCCTCTCTCGGTTGCTCTTCGCGTCTCGCTTTATCGACGTCGACTTGTTTTTTATTCGTTGTCGCGGTGTAAATTTGTCCGTATAGAAAACCACGATAGATGGGTTAGGTCTGGGTTACCTTGTTTCAAATGGTATATCAAATGCCTCGGTAATTTCCCATAAACGACACCGACTCGCGATACCGATACGAAAACGCGGATCGTCGGTGACGTTTTGTTCGACGCGAGTAATTGAAAGCCAGCCTCAAATAGACCCACCACTCCATCAGCCACCTGTTCCACCGGTCGACAAACTCGTTTCTCGTTTCAGGACTCGTTCTGTTGCCGCAGATTTCGGTACACGTTTAGCGCCCGTCGCCAAACCAGGATACTTAACTTTCCTCTC